TAGCTTATGGGCAAGGTGAGGATACTATTTCATAATAGTGGTTACCAGTTTCTGTTACTGAACTGGGGGTGGCGGTTGTCCTAAATTAGAGCAGTACAAAATGGCAGCATTTAAATAATCTGCAGGTAGTACTAGAAAATCAGAAGTAGTGAAAATTTTCATCAGAAGTTAAAGCAAGGAGGAAATAAAGATAATATTTCTGAAACTGACTCACTAGTACATTATAGACCAAAATGCAGGGGTGCACATACAGAGAGACATACCTACAGAATGGCTGCATGCAAATGAAGTTTGATAGCATTTAAAAGGTTGTATTAATATGAGCACATTTAATGGGAAAGTATAACATTATTAGAGTTATCTCCACTTGGAGTCTAATCATTCCCATATATCCTGGTCAGAGTTGAGGCAGAGCAGCAAATAGCACCCTCCCCACCAAGGCTGCACAAGTATCAAAGGCAGAAAATCCCACAAGCATCTTTCCCTTTCCCAGTCAGTAGAAATGAAATACATAACAATTTGCTGCTTTTCATGGCATCCCATATTAGCCACTTGAGGTTGCCAACTCACTTTGCCTGCCAGTAGAGCAATCAGTTTGCATGCTCCGCAATCAGTCTGCATGCTCCGTAAGGTGAAAGAGAGAAAATAAAGAGCATATAAATGATCTGGTTTCAAGGGATTTTTCAAGACTTAGTGAGACAAGAAAATAATAATCATTAGCATTTGGAATTCTTTGGGGAGAAGATCATGTTTAAGTTGGATGATCGTTGTTTGTGCCACTGATCAATATAAAATCCAATCAACTAGACATATTTACATAATTACAGAAAGGGTAATTATCAAACGCTCTAACAATTATTACTTTAGTTAATTAGACACCAAACGTTCAGAGTGAATAGGTCTACAGGTACCTCTGAAGGCCAAATTAGTTGTGAGATCACTAATTCATGTGCTAGGTCTGTTTTACTTACTTGGAAAGAACAGGACGGAATGGGAAGCAAAAGGGATATACTCAAAAGGAGTGCACAATCCCCTCTCCCTCTGCCGTTCATCAATTTAAATTATTTTCTCCCAACTATTTTTGGTATTAAACATTACCAAAAAGGTATTAATGATATTTGAGACTAACATTCATTCTAATGCAAAGTTTTTAAAGACTGTAGCTCACTTCATCTGAGGCATGAAGTTTAAGAGCAGGTGAGAACATAAAGTAGCTCTCCAGATGTTTTGAACTTTGTAGTCCAGCATTCCTGAACATCAGTCATGTTGGCAGGGGCTTCTGGGAGGTGAAGTCTAAAACATCTGGAAGTTTACCATCTGCCCACCTTTGTTAGAAACAGTGTTTCAGATTTACATGCAGTGGATATGGTTGTGATGTTGGGATGAACTATAATCAGTGCTATAAACATGCACTGTGAATGACCACTGTTAATGATGTGATTGTCACTATGGGTACTTTCTGCATTTAATTTCCTTCTGCCAGCACTGTTTACAATTTGTTAGCCTTTAAGGGGTCGCAAGACTCTGTCAGTTTTGTTGCAATGCATCAATACAGTTAACCCAGTGGAAATGGTTATTTCTGGTACTAGAGCTCAGCTATGAAAAATCTGAGGACAGACTGAGGTAAGCCAGGCAGTGGAGAAAAGGTAGGTTTCTCACTTGGGTAGCTTTGCATTTTAAAAGCAGATCTGGCATGGTCTAGTTTGGCCCATAAGCAGACTTCTCAAGCAGAAGTTGTACGATGCCCACTAATAGGGCATTCTGAACAGCTTTACAATATAGGAAATACGCAACACACACAGAAAAAAAGAATTCAAAACAGCAAGCACATGTAAAATGCTACCAGACACAAGATTAAAACCAGCAACCTGCAATATAGTACAAAACAGACAGCAGGAAAACTGTTTATGCAACTGTTTATGCATTATGCATTTTTTCATGTCAAAAAGAAAGACCATACAGATAATGTAGCAACTCACCGTACCTCAAAGATGCAGCAGTGAAAATGTGATGTTTCAATGGATCATTTCTACATGTGACTGAGATAACCCTTATGCATACCTATCCTTTTCTATCTATTCAGATATCTCAACCTTTTCTTCATTATTGCATTTCTTGTTTTGTATTTTATTAGATACAAATTATTGCAATCTAAAAAGGGTAATTACTGAATATTAAAATCTAATAAAAATGGGTAGGAGAGCTCATTCAATTTTTTTCTGTCAGGTCCTTTTGCTAAAATAGTCCCAGCAGATGGCAGCAACAGCCTGAACAACTCTGGCCCCCAATTTATGTGCTTCATTAACGATAAAATTAATTATCTAAAATAGTCTTGCATTTGAGATACAAAGAACTTCTAAGGCTTCTGGGAAAGGACATTCACAAGCTTAGTGGAAATTTTTTACTTTTAACAACTGTCCTCAATAACAAAATACTTTTAAAGGTCATCAGTTTGCCATCAGATATCGGAGAGTACTGTTTAAGGAAAAACAAATCTTAATCCTTTCTTGGGTTCATGAAATGAGTTCAACTGTTCTTCAAAGTCACCTGTGTGATTTCTTATCACAAAACCCAAATTAGCTCTCCAGGTTTTTAGTCTCAGGGCCTTGCTATTACATTTTATGTAGGGGGAGTATACCTAAGCCCTAAATATATTTTGAGTTGAAGGATGAAGTCCAATCAGGACACCCATAACCTCCGAACTCAGAGGATTATAAGCTGAGCAGGGCTGTAAAGGACAGGGCATTTTGGACGCGAGTTCACAGGGTCATGTTAAGTCAGAGACAACTTGATGGAACATAACAACAAATGAAGGGGGGACATGAAACCAAATGTTTCCACATCCCCCCCCCGTGCTGAAAAAAATTGCTTCTTGGTCATCTAAGTGTGGTTTTCAGAGTGGGAGGGAAAGAGACTGAGGTACCATCAAGATACCTCATTATCTTGGCAACACATGTCCCTTTCACTCTCTCCACAAAATAGGTATGCATTGCTCCATATAATCCAGCTTTCTCTAAATTATAACTGAAGTAGCTGACAAGTAAAATATAAAATCTACACAAAATCAAAACATCTAATTATTAAAAGTATCACAAGAAATTCAAGAAATTACAGTAGCAAAGTGACACAACACAGATAGTAGACAGCATTACCAGTTAACTGGTAGATCAGACAGGAAATTAAATGTCTAGGTTAAAAGCCTGACAGAACAGTGATGAACTTTGACTTAAATTTTATTATGAAAATTGAAGTAACATACTGGCAACCTACAGTCTATAACTGGACCAACCTGACTGGATTTTCATGGGAAAAACAACAGCTTAGTCACTTTGAGGGCTTTCACAAGAACATAATATTGGGCATGGTACATGAATCACAGTGTACTGGAGTGGGATGCAATGCATTGGCCACTGATACTGGCAGACCTGTGTCCCATAGAATATGTGATGCTGCTTTCAAATTTAGATTCAGAACATAAGCAGAGACATACTGTATCAGACTAAGGCTTATCTAATCTAGCATTCTATTCCCACAATGGTAATTGTGGGCATGGGTTATCTATGTTAACATGCACAGTAGGAAGAGTTTACTCCAACTGAACACAATAACAAGTGTTATCAGATAAGAAGAGCAACTCAGAGTATTTATATCACTGAGGCCTGTGAATTTTGAGTAACAGACAAGATTTTCAACACAGAATAAAAGCACCTCTTCTTTTGAGATTGTAACCAAGTCAGAAGAAAAACTGCTGGAAAAAGTACCTTAGAAATACATTGCTGGCTGCTACTGAAAACTTCTGCCCCAGAATCAGAAAATTATTAGAGTTTGAGAAGAAAGATCTATGGCAGTCTGTTAAATTTAGTAACTAATTCATCATTACAAAGTCATGGAGACTGAAACGAAACAGTGCTAATTTGTTCCTATTTCATTTTATCTTTTTATCATTTCTTTCAAGAAACATCCTAACTTCTTATTTAAACCTCCTATGTCAGCAGCATTTATCAACTTAATTTCACTACAAGAAAACATATTTACCATATATATTTGTGAATAAGGCAAATCACATATACAAGTCAATATTTTGGGCTGTCCTTCTGCTGTTTGTCATATGTTGGGTATATAAGAAAACCCCCAATTTTTGCTTTGCTATTTTTTGTTTCAGGGTCATTTTATATGCTGATATATAAGGTAATTATAATTAGAATAAAGTCTGAGGCAATTCCTGTGTAGTGGTTAAGAGCATGGGACTGGGACTCAGACTATCTGGGTTCAAGTCCCCGCTCAGCCATGGAGCTAACTGGGTGACTTTGGGCTAGTCACAGACTCTCAGCCCAACCTACCTCACAGGGTTGTTGTTGTGGGGATAAGATGGAGGAGGAGGAGGATGTAAGCTGCCTTGAGCCCTTTGTAGGAAAAAGGCAGGATATAAATCGCAATATAAATAAATAAATAAGCCCTTCCAAATTTGACTTGCAAATTCTCTTTGTTGTAAATTACAATGGTGTCATTAAGTTTCCTATTTTTACCAATCTTTTCTCCAGTGAAACAATCTAGTTTACTACTACTACTTAAATTCCAGTTATTACAGTCATTCTTTTTTCTAAGTACAATTTAAACAGTCTTGCCCAATTTGTAGTCCAGTACACTAATTACATTATTGGGTTTTTATGATGCTGTGCATTGGCTCTCGCAACCTAATAGATACAAATACTTTATTCTACTCAGGCAAAATATTTTCCCTAAGAGTTACATGTTGCTCTCCAACTGTAATATTCACATTACAGCTAATGCAGATGAAATGGCTTAAAAAATAACTGTTCAACCAAGTCCATTAAATTTATGTCCCATTTCAGTTGTTTTATAAATTGGCTTGCCAATGAAGTATCCTCCATTTAGCTTTGATCAAATGTAAGTATTACCTATGTTTTGTCAGAAATCAGTGAAGGTCGTGATGTATAGGGTCATTTAGTTATACACACTGAGCAAAAAGATACAAAAAGGACTGTTCAGTGTAATTTATTTGAAATGCTCTGAGAACAGTGTAAGGCTATTATGCAAAATGCTTTCATCAATACATACATTATTGTTTAATAAATGAAGATGTTATACAGTTTCTCCAAAATTTTGGCAAGTTTTGTAATTTCAGTAGTTTACATCCTAACAATGCAATCCCCTGCATGTGTACTCAAAAGCACTTCAACTTAGTTCATTGGAGCTTTACTCTCAGGAAACTGTATAGAAATGCAGCCTAATGTATTTTCTATTTCCTTCTCTTTTTTTCTTAAAAAATCCATTGTCCTGTTCAGATATCATACTAAATTATAGTTCTCTTCTTTGTCTCTTGATCAGCTAAAACTCACGTTCCAAAATGAAGCAATCTAAATAAATTACAAGCCTGAAATAGAAAATAATCATCATGTTTAAATCCTATACATACATAATTATAAACAAGTGAGTAAAGTTGTCCATAATACTTAAAAAAAATAGAAGTAAAATACCTATTTTATATTGATTATTTCAACACAATGATTCCTTTAACATATAGTAAAACATATCTACAAATTATGATTGACCCCATATTTACTCCCCTAGTTTCTCTGTAAACATGAAAAATATACAAAGTATGCTTTTGGCAATATTTTAGGAAAATGACAGCATATGCTGAGGTTGAAGTCAACAGAGGTTGAAGTCAACATGGTACAGAAAAGAATAATGGTATACAAGAGAATTTCAGTGCACTAGGTTGTACATTTTAGAACTATCTTTAAGAAACAGAGCAAATTCAGTATTCCAGTATTGTTCAAACTTTCATTAGCAATTAAATTTATTTCAGAACTACCAATTTTATTGGCATTTCCCCATCTTTAAAGGTGCAAAGCTGATGAAAATTGTTCTTTAAATTAAGAGCTTAAAATTTGGCCATAGATTTAGAAGATGTAGAAGCCTTTGCAGTTCAGATGTCAGAGCTGCAACACTAGTAGATGCTGTCCCAAGAAATGAATATGAGGATATACAAACAGACCCTGAATAGGGCAAAGATGCACTAATGGGTTCCCATGGAAAATAATTATGAATCACGGGTTTAAATCAAATTTGCAATCATATTAGAAAGCATTTTTGTTATAATTAAACCAGTGAAACGCTGAACACAACCAGTGAAAAAATGACTTTTGTGAATATATTTGGTAGAGTCCCAGGTGCAAGTTTCTGTAAGCATTTTATACAGGCCTAGGCAGCCCACTTCAGTTTCATCCAGCATCTTAGCCCTGAGAAGCTCACTACACAGATTCCCTAAACAGGACTGCCAATAAAAATATCCCTCTCTGTGAAGCACACTGCATCAACACTGCATAACCACTGTCCCCAGAACAGGATGACATTACATACAAACATGTGAATGCTAAAACTATAAGAGATATTAGCACCATTTTATACACAAACTGCCTGGGCATGACATAAAAGGGCTACATGGAACACAATAAAATCAATTTAATCCATATCACAGAGCTATTTCCATTTTACTTTTTAGGGCACTTTACTCTTTCCTTGTTTTTCTAATGCTCCACTGCAAATTGTTCAGCAGCCTATCTGAAAGTACAATCATAAAATGTTTAGCTTTTCATCTGAATATTCCATCTGGCAGCAGCATTTACTTTCAAATATCTGTGAAGTTTTATGTGTGCACTGAGAGAATATACCCTCTGCACAGGTCAGAATCTAACCTAATCTCCATTAGGACTTGAAATCTATCTGTATTGTAAGATTCCTGTTGCCTTGATAGCAATATGGTAGCTACCTTACCTTATCCTGAAACACAGAGCTTTTCCACAAACACTTGCACAGCACTTGATTTCTCATCCCTTCATGGATGGTCCCTCCACTGGAGAGCATTATATCTGAGATGATACGGAAGTTCCATTTGTGATGGCTCATTCACAGGTACAAGTAGTCACTTCTTGTGCAAGCCTAGTTATCTAGTAATGAGACAATTATTTTTAGCTTTTAAAGCTTTTCAAGACTTGTGTGTCTTTCATAGCAAATTTCTGGCTTCGATAATCTTCTTTAAAAGCCTTGTAGTTTCTTGTGGTCAACTGCCAGATCAAAGAGATCAAAATAGGGTACTTTATAAACTTTATAGACACTTATGTTATATGCATAAAAACAGTAGTTTAGAGAGCAACTCTACCAGTAGGACAGTTGAAATAAGGGATCAAGTACCTCTCTCAGCCACTGAGACATTTAAAGAATATCACAGGATTATGCTTGTCATACATTCTAAGTTACTCACACTGGCAGTAACAGTACTGTGGTCAAAAGGTACAAATATAATAGAATTGACATTGTCACAAAAATATTAAAAAGTGCTTCTTGCGCCATATGTGGAATGCCGATACTGTATAGGTAAGTCGCAGTATTTCTCTATTAATGTTTTTTGTCAGACATTGCTTTCTAATGCTTTGTTACTCCCCCAAGTGTCTGTCTGCTCCATGTGGTCACAGTCAATGCTAATTTCACTGGTGTCCATACTACAGTCAGACCCACTGTCTGATTGGTCCATTTGCTCAAGGTTTGCTTCCTGCCGGAAACCTCTGTGCCTGCTGGATGATGTTAACAATGGCCCTTCAGAACCAGGTAAACCACCTTCGCCTGATGCATGTAAGACTGATTCTTTAGCTTGACGGATACAGTTGAGCCACTGTTGCTTGTTGAAGGCATCATTTGCTTGTAATGAGTGGGACTGGCTCTGAGATCCATTTTTGAAGCTGACTCTGAAGAAGTTTTTAACTGAAAGAAACCAGCCTTGTTAGTACATTGAATACTTTTTGAGAGAGTTGATACACTGTGTTCAAATTCAGAAGGGTTTAAGCATACATATTATTTATTTCAGGTTTTCTATAATACCTTTCTGAAAGCAAGTAGGTGTAGGAAAAAATGAAAATGTAAACTAATGATCAATAAAAGCATACTAAAATAATCATAACAGTAAAAAGAACTGATAATTTAAGGGTGATTTGATCACAATACTTTGCACAGCTTAGCAGCCTAATAGCCAAATTTTTGCATCAAATGAAGTTTCTGGATATTCTTAAGGGGTAGTTCAGATCATCTTCCAACAAACTACTAGTAATTTAAATAGTTGAGTGTTCTATCAAGTGTTTTAATGAACTGATATTTTAGATAAAGTCCTCAAAAGTTATACTTCCATTCTATATCAAAATGTATCACAGGGGCCTGCCTATGCAGCCAAAGGCAGCCTACCATTGATGTATCCTCACATTACTAGGTGATTCTCCCCACACACCCCTCCCATGCTGGCAGCTCCAGAAGAGACAGTAAAGATTTAGTTGAATCTCTGGTGGAGAACTATACAAGACTTATGGTTTAGACTGGTAAAGTGAAAGCTGAACAAACTGGGAGAGAAAGAAAAAAATGCACAAAACATAGTCCTTCAAACTCAAAGCAGACTGTTTTATTATTGTATGTACCACCTCATTGTCTCACACTTTAAAAAAAAGCTAAGTCCTCCACAAAAATTAAGTAATGCTAACATAATGCTATGTGATAATAAGCAGTCAGTGAAACCAAGTCACAGCAGTAAGTAACACCACTACTACTTACCAGAAACTGCAGCAATGAAACCTGTGCAAATGATGCCTGAACTGCTTTATGGAATTCTGCCAATCTGCATAATGCTGTCTGCCTTTTTTAATGTCTTTGCTGTTACTTGCAAGAGTGCAGAGTCTCCCCTTTCCCCCAATAATGATGGTGGTAATTTACTACAATGGCACTATCTCACTAGCTATAATGGTTGGTAATTAGAAAGCATGTAAGTTTCACAGCATTATCCCTTAAAGCTCATCACTTCAATATGAACAATTAAAGGTCTGTGTTCAATCTTTTCTGCAGCAACATTTAGCACACAATGCTTTTCTGAATTTTCATACTACTTGTTAAACTCTTACTTCTTCCTTAGGCTTTTCTTGTTTGTTTGTATGAATGAATCATGGTGGTTTCTACTTCCAGGATATTTTTGAAAAAAGCCTGAGAAGAGGGTGCTTTGAACCTGGGAACTGCAGCCACTCATTTTTAATTTCTAAGTGAGTCATGCATTTGAACAGCAGCTATTTGAAAGCAGATAAATGGGAAGAACACTTTAAACAAAAATAGACAATTCTGAAATGCTGAAATAATATCATTGGTTCTTACTTCTCTCATTGTTGCTAAATGCACCACGTATAGATCCTCCCAATCGCACCTCTCCATCTTGCAAATCTTCCAGCACAAGATCCTTCACAGGAATAGGCTGCCGGTACAGTTGGTACCAGAGTTGCTCGTTATGTGTAACAGCTCGAGTAATTACAAGCACTTCTTGGAAGAGAAAGACGTGCAGTTTCTAATGGTTAAAAAAGGGGAAATTATGAGTTGACATGATTACAATTTTTATTTCTGTGTATTTTTAGACAGAAAAATGTCCTGCAGCTCTGAGCATTCCCCAGTAAGCATGCTGGCTGGAGAATGCTGAGAGTTGCAGGGTAGTTTTTGTTCTAAATGTGCATAGGAGAGTGCCCTAAATTTCCCAGTTCAGCAGGAAATTCATCTTACTCAGAAGATGGATGAAAATGATTCATGTGTGTTAGAACATTTCCCCCGTGCATTTAAATGGCAGGATCCCAATGTATAAGTATTAAACATGCACAAAAAGTTAAGTGCTCTAAAGGAGAATACACTTTTCTTGGCTTAAAAAGCAGTAATCAAACCAAAATAAATTCTATAGTACAAGCAGCAGATTTACTCTTTGCAAGCAAATTTCCCCTGCCATCAAGGATGCATGTTAAAACAATGTATCCATTGTAGCAGAGTATGTATTCAGCCACTGGGTGATTCACAGCATCAAGTTACCATGGGCAGCCAGCCAGAGTTGGTTTTCCAGTCATCTTAACTCAAAGCAGCTCATTCTTGCAAGCAAGCCATGCAGAAAACCCACGGCTTGTTGCAGTTGTTCATGCCTATGATGGGGTGTTGCATCCTCTGCACTGGTGGTGGTGGGGAGACCAATGTTATTGTGGGTGGCTATAATCAGTTACAAGAGTGGCATAAAAGTCCATGCAACTCATTGTCTACCCTTCCACTGATGCTGAAATGGCACTTTAGAAGGCTCTTCCAGCTTCTCAGAATTTGTTTTTCAGTGCCTCAGAACCAGCTGGGCATGTATTTACTGGCCTTGTCTGTTCCAAATGCCAAAGGGAGTAGGTAACAAACATAGAAATTGACAGGTCAATTTCCAGGTTATATATAAGATAATTTGCGCACAGTTAGGAAGAGCTGGGGTAGAAATAATAGTAAGAGAAAGGAGTGCCCCAGCAATTCAGAAGTGCCGAAAATGGGGGGAGGGTGAGCACCAAGGAGATAAGTGTACAAAGAGGCAAACAACGTCTCCCCTTTGTCAACGTGATCCTCTCACTTTTAATAGTTGAACTGACACCTCCTCAGTGCCTCCCCCTTTTCAACAGACTCTCCAGGTACTCCAGAAAGAAGTAGTATTCCTTCCTTCCTCCCTTCTTGCAGCTCCTTTTCAGAGCAGTTGTGGCACAACCATAGAAAAAGTCCTGTTTCGTGTATTTCCAATTCAAATACCATGCAGATGGGGAATCGGACATAGTGAATGGGAAAGCTAATACAAAGAATGCTATGTCCAGGGAAAGACAATAAGGGCTTATTTTGAAAATATGCACTTGTATTAATAGTAGACAAAAAATAGCTGGTGTCTTACACACAGTATGACCCATTCTACCCATACTCCTCCCTTCTTACTCTAAACTCTATTATAAAACTAATTGCAACCTTACATTTAAAAATAAGTCGTCCACTCTGGTGATAATTCATTATCACAGCATACAACAGAACATAATTTGGAGAAAAGAAAATTAATCCAGTTGTTTGAAAAATGAACTTACCACTCCCCTGCTGTTCTTCAGTTCACCGTGACAACACACAACATGTGAATTATCTATCAGAGAGTCCCTTTGGCCTTCATCTAGATATATTAGCCTTTCTTTGTAATACTGGCATTCAGATTCTCCAGTCTTTTTGTTGATTTCTGCCACAATACCTTGGACAATATTAATCTGGAAAAAAGATAATTAAAGAGATGTCGCAATTTGCCAAACCAATTTTGCTGACCAAACCTTTTAGTTGTAAAACTAAGAATGCATGTGTAATATCCTTTTTTCAGATACTGCGTTTTGGATAAGAGCATAAAACAGACTATGTGGGAGTAGGCTACACTGGCCTGGTTTTCCTGTTTCACAGTTTCAGATTTCAAGACAATTTCCATGATTTCTGTCAATGGCTCCTATGCAAGGGCAGCACTAGGACTTCCCCGTTATTTTCTGTGAAAAGAGGGTGCTACATATATGCATATTCATATATGCAATTGATTCAACTAAACTATTCACTAAAACTTCACAGGCCCCTTATGCTTGCACATAAACAGCATGGCTTGTTTGCATTCCTGGGTAAAGCTTCATTGGGGTCTGTTCCCATGTTCTAGATTCCAAGCTGTTTAAAAACGCCAAAGCTTCAATAGCAACTTGGAATACAGTATACTGTAAGAATGCCTTTTGAAGCAAAATGCAAAGATCAATGGAATGAAGCTTCTCTCCTCAAATTACTCTGGGTTAGAACCAGCATTAAACATCCTATGCAGCAGCATCTATTGGTTTAATCTAGGACTTTAACAAGCCAAAGATGGTCAACCTCAGGCTTCAGAAAGTTGGCAATGGAACACTGAGAACACCTGTTTCTGTGCCTTTGCTATCTGTACTGTTGACACACTAATGCTTTGTTGAACTTCAAATAATTAGGCAGACAATGTTGAAAGAAGAAAATAAACAGCAGCAGCACATACAGTCTGTGAATATTATCCAGGGTTACCCACACTATGCTATGAGCTATTTCACTAATACCGCAAGGGTTTGGCTCCATGAAGGAAGTAAATGGCCTAACATAAAAACATAAAACAATCATTAAATATAATAAAAATAGCAGAGCTGTAGCTCAGTCCAAAGCAAGAGAAATTGGAAATACATTTCACTGAGTTCAATATTTTTCATTTCCTCCTCATAAGGAAAATTATTATCGCAAGTCTCCTAAAGTGTATTTATTTAACAAGTTTGAGAGCAAACACATAGTCCATGGAAGAGTCCCCTAGGATTTTTCAAATTCCTCCTTTGGAGACCACAGAAACTACTGGACTTCAGGAGTATGGTCTGAGTTCTCTCTTGCATGGAAAGAATTATAATGGCCTCTTCCAGAGCAACTTTGGGGATGAGCAGATCAGGCTACCAGTGGCTATAAGACCTAATGGCTCTGTACTACTTCTAGTATCAGAGACACTATCCCTAGCTAGTTGCTGGGGACCATGGATAGGATAGGATCGTGCTGTTGCATTCATATCCTGCTTCTGGGTTCAACATGGGTAGCTGGTTGGGCACTGCATGAACATAATGCTGGACACGCTATCAACAATTGCCTTGTCCAACAATGCACATGAAATTAATGAGCGTTGAGTAAAAATGCAATATGATAAGCAATTGACAATTCCATTAGACAGACATCACTAGGAGTTTTCAGCAAGACTGGCAGCAGTTATGGTGAATCACTTCAGCATTTGTCTACATGGTAACTACTTCATATAATGAACAAAGACAGTTTTAATTATCACTAGAAAAGAAGCACATGGCTGTTTTTCCATTCACTCAACATCTGTCAGTTTGATTCCATAAACATTACCTGAGAAAGCCAAATTTTTATTATAACTAATAGCAATACATCATGACATGAACATACAGTGGAACATTACTTTTATTTACACGTTGGCTCAGTGTAATGGCATGATGTCCTTCTCGAATACAGTTGTGTTAAGCATACAAGCAAAACAGACACTTCAGAAGTATGGATCTTTTCTATGCAGGGGTCTTGAATTGGCTGGGGCAACACTGTAAACAATGCTCTATTATAGAAGATTAATTAGATACATCATTATTAAATACATACAGCTTCTTCAAGGTGCTGCTGGTCTGGATGATCATTTGGTGTATGTCTCAGAATCTCTCGGAGTAGCAAAGGGTACTTCACTAGACGGCTTCTTGGGATGTCAAGAAAATTCCATAGATCCAGTTTGCGGCTGAAAGGAGACTCTAGACAGCGTTGGAGGAAATCTTGCACTCGATGATCCTGCTTCTTATGGTCCAGCAAAGCTTTGGCAGCGACTTGGTTGCTGCAATAGCTATCATAGGAATTTAGACAAGGCAGCTAAGGAAGAAATAAATATTTTGAAATAATTTGTAGATTTCCACACTCAGCAAGTCTTTTAAATATATTCAGTTTCTCTAACTGATGTTCATGTTCCAAGAATATACGCCCCGCACAGACTGTTTCCAGTATAAGTTGGTTTCAGTAATCTATGCCCTGGTAACCTCCATTGGACTACTGCAATGCACTCCATTTGGGGCTGGCCTTGGTGATTGTTCAGAAGTTGCAGTCTGTGGCAAAATGCAGCACAAACTGCATTGATAACTGGGATTTTTAGGTATAAATATATAAGACTAATTCTGGCCACTCCTGCGAGTTCCTTGGACCGCAAGGCGATCAAACCGGTCAGTCCTAGAGGAAATCAACCCTGACTGCTCTTTAGAAGGCCAGATACTGAAGATGAAACTCAAATACTTTGGCCACCTAATGAGAAGGAAGGACTCCCTGGAGAAGAGCCTAATGCTGGGAACAATAGATGGCAAAAGAGGAAGGGGACGGCAGAAGATAAGGTGGCTAGATGGAGTCACTGAGGCAGTTGGTGTGCGTTTAGGTGGACTCCGGGAGATGGTGGAGGACAGGAAGGCCTGGAGGAGTGTTGTCCATGGAGTCGCGATGGGTCGGACACGACTTTGCGACTAACAACAATTCTGGCCAACTTGCACTGGCTGTTTGCTTCCAAGCACAATTCAAGGTGCTGGTTTTAATCTACAAAACTCTACATGATTTGGATCTGCAGTGCCTGATGGACTGCCTCTCTCAATCTGAATCTACCCAGACACTGATCTCCATCTGAGGCCTTCATCTGTGACTGGCAACAAGGAAGATGGCCTTCTCAGTGGTGGGCTCTCAGTTATAAAATTATCCCCTCACAGAGGCCCACCTGGCACCAACACTCTCATGCTTTCAGCATAAAGTTGAGACTGTCCTCTATTCCTAGACTTTTTTATGACACTAACAAATGGAGCTCCTTGTATTATACAGTATATCACAGAAGTGAGTATACCTCTCACATTTTGTAAATATTTTATTATATCTTTTCATGTGACAACACTGAAGAAATGACATTTTGCTACAATGTAAAGTAGTGAGCATACAGCTTGTATAACAGTGTAAATTTGCTGTCCCCTCAAAATAGCTCAACACACAGCCATTAATGTTTAAACCACTGGCAACAAAAGTGAGTACACCCCTAAGTGAAACTGTCCAAATTGGGCATTATTAGCCATTTTCCCTCCCCGGTGTCATGTGACTCATTAGTGTTACAAGGTCTCAGGTGTGAATGGGGAGCAGACGTGTTAAATTTGGTGTCATCGCTCTCACTCTCTCATACTGGTCACTGAAAGTTCAACATGGCACCTCATGGCAAAGAACTCTCTGAGGATCTGAAAAAAAGAACTGTTACTCTACATAAAGATGGCCTAGGCTATAAGAAGCTTGCCAAGACCCTGAAACTGAGCTGCAGCACGGTGGCCAAGTCCATACAGCAGTTTAACAGGACAGTTTCCACTCAGAACAGGCCTCGCCATGGTCGACCAAAGATGTTGAGTGCACGTGCTCAGCATCATATCCAGAGGCTGGCTTTGGGAAATAGACGTGTGAGTGCTGCCAGCATTGCTGCAGAGGTTGAAGGGGTGGTGGATCAGCCTGTCAGTGCTCAGACCATACACCGCACACTGCATCAAATTGGTCTGCAGGGCTGTCGTCCCAGAAGGAAGCCTCTTCTAAAGATGATGCACAAGAAAGCCTGCAAAGTTTACTGAAGACAAGCAGACTAAGGACATGGATTAGTGGAACCATGTCCTGTGGTCTGATGAGACCAAGATAAACTTGTTTGGTTCAGATGGCGTCAAGCATGTCTGAGGAGTGAGGAGTACAAAGACAAGTGTGTCTTGCCTTCAGTCAAGCATGATGGTGAGAGTATCATGGTCTGGGGCTGCATGAGTGCTGCTGGCACTGGGGAGCTACAGTTCACTGAGGGAACCACGATTGTTAACATGTACTGTGACATATTGAAGCAGAGCATGATCCCCTCCCTTCGGAGACTGGGCCACAAGGCAGTATTCCAACATGATAACGACCCCAAACACACCTCCAAGATGACCAGTGCCTTGCTAAAGGAGCTCAGGGTAAAGGTGGTGGACTGCCCAAGCATGTCTCCAGACCTAAACCCTGGTTACATGGCTAAGATCAGGCCTTGGACTTTGCAAGACACCTTGACTTTGCAAAGTGGGAGGCTGCATAGCAAAATAGGCATAGCTGGCTCCAACCATGGTGACCCTGAGGGTCTGCATCTGCCAGCAGCTTGCCTTCTGCTCTCTTAGTCTCAGCAATCACTACTCACCACTATATTTTAGCTCTACGCACAGGCAGACAAATATAAATCCCGGCATCACTGTCCATGCTTTGCATATTTCACTGGCCCTCAAGCTATCACGCTGCTTGATACTTGTATTTTCCTCTTTTCAACTTTCTAACTATGAGCAATGGTAACAAAATAAATTAGTACTGTTTATGTTTTCCGTACCCATCTGACAAGGATGTGACCAACTGAGTCTGTAGATCCATCAGGCTTTCTAATTTCTTTCAGTCTCCTAAGAAGATCTGATAAAAATACAAGATATAGAAACATAAAGAAAACTATTTTAAAATTCATGGATTTCAAAGAAGTTTACATGTCAAACATATCAGATGTTGGTATGGAAGACTGGCTGTTACTTCATCATGAGAATAAATGGTAGTTCTATATCTATATGTTTATATCTATATAACGAATGCCCATCTATTCCCTATGTGGGTACATTTATGTATAAGTACACACATATACACCCCAAAATTACACAAATCTTATGAAGCTGAAATTCACAATTTTCAAAAACTTCTGATAGACTAAAAATAAAATTTGCTGGTATTTAGCTACTTCCATATACTTTTTGGAACTTACATTTAATCATTATTTCCCCCAAGTAATGAAACCTTAACAGTGTAAATATTAAACGAATTCCTAGACTGCCCAGAGAGCTTTGGCTATTGGGAGGTATAGAAAATAAATAAATAAGATTAAGTTCATATCAACAAGCAATGACAACTAATAAATCCATACTATTATAAGTATGTGATAAAAAGCCAATTCCAATATATATTCTTCTATAGACCAACATCCACACAGATTTTATAGTGGCATTCCAAGATTAGGTTTCTCCCTATTTCAGTACATGGATTTTTTTTCCTTTATATTGCTTGAAGAATTTGTAGTCCAATATACCATGACATGGATAAATTTTGGATGGTTTTCATTCACAGGGTTGCCTTCTTATATAAATAAACATACAGCAGTCCCTGAGTTACAGATGAGTTCCCGGGAAAATGGAAATTCATTTTTAAGTCGAATTTGTATGTTAGTCAAATCACATCTAGTTGACCTTCTACATTTGTGAGGGTTGGGGCACAGGACCCCCGTGAAAGTAAAAGAACCACAAATATCTCTAGCCTAGGCCACCCACCACCCCCGCCCCCGCCTTACCAAGGCCTCCCCTTTGCAGCAAGGAAATGCCAGAGAGATTTCCAGAATGCTCTCTGGCTGGATAGGGCAGGAAGACATGCTTTGGAGGCTTTCCTCTATACTCTATACTCTTTTCACTTTTCCTCTCTCTATTGTTATGCTCTGGAGGTCTTCCCTCTCTCCTCTTTTGCTTCCTCTCTCTATTGTACTGACAATTTTCCACAGTAATTTTTAAAAAATCAGAAGGCTTTATGGCAGTTCATTCATAAGTATAGGTTGTTCATAACTTGGGCATTTGTAACTTGGGGAATGCCTGTATTGAATATAGATATTATACCTTCATGCAGAGGAATTAAAGAGTCCAGTGTTCCAAAAATTTGATTTAATTCTTCCTCTGACATTATAGAGAGCTTAAGCATTGGGTCATGGTAAGCCTGCACAAAGATAGAAAAGTCATAAAATAAACAAACATTTGAAATTTCTGAACTGGTTATATCCTTTAAACTCTGTTTCTTCTGCCACCTCCCTAATTTTTTATAGATTAGAATGCTTACCCATATGCACAGGTGGTCAAAACTGCCTAGGAACAAATTCAATTGAGAGACAAAATGTGTAAGTGTATAATTAGGAGTATAATACCTTCTTTGCTAACTTCAAGTCTTCTATCAAGTCTTCTTCCCCTTGTGAAAGTTCAAAAATAGCCTGTAATAGAAAACATAATTTTGGGAAATTTGCCACTTTAACATTTGTCATACGGTTTTTTAAAACTACAGATAAATCTCTGAATTTGATCCTACCATATGTTTCATACTGAAAGGAGGGACTAGAAAATCATAACATAAAACTTTTACAAAAGATCCGTTCTGTCTTGTTTAAGTGTTTATATTCTAATCTGTATCTTTTTCTGCAAGGTAATTACTAGCCTTATCATTAATTACATGGTTCATGCCTAACTTCAGAAATCTAAATCAGTTTATGGCAACACAAGAAGTGGGACAACAGTTCTCTATGGAGGTTGACTGGGAAAGGAGCCAAATAATCATTTACTGTAATGTGGAATTTAAACTTTGTTTCTGTTGTGGTGTTTATTTATACCAATCAATCATATGTTATACTGATACTTCAGAACAAGTTTAATTTCTTCCTACAAAAGGATTAAGGATGCAATCCTATCATCTGTGCCCTCAAGCCTGCCAACTTGGAGGCTTTTAAGCTTCCAGTGCAGAGTGGGAGGAGCAGTAGAAGAATGTTTGGCTATCTGGCCGAAGCACTCTGCTGATGGAGAGAAGAAGGCTACAGCACTGTCAGGGTACACTGTATCCTGGCAGCCCCATCTCCTCCTCTCTGCCACCTTTACTTTCCAACCCCAGAGAAAGCATCCAGAGCAATTCTTTCTGTGCTGGTTGGAAAGTGAGGGGAGGAGGATCAGCACTGGATCCCAAGCTCCAAGATCAGAGCTCTGTCACTGACCTTGGATCTGGTAATCTGAAGTATCCCACCACTCTCTAGATGCTGCTGAGGGGCCACAGGATTATTATCTTAGAAACGTTTCCACCTATGGCTCCAAGTCAAGCTGTATTCATGGTCCTCCATGAACCTTTCATGGACCTCCATTCAATTCTACTTAGCTTTTTAAATGCTTCTAGTCTTATTAAAAATGCTCCCAGCCTGCATGCCCTTGAGTCCCATTGCTCGTGGCTGGGATTCTGTCACCGCAAGCTGTCATCAGAAGCATTCTAATTGCAGGGGTGAATCTTTCACACTGCAACTTAGGCAGTGAAAGGTCTCTTTGGCTTTGAAAATCTTCACATAGTCTGGAAAAAGGAAAGACAGACCGACATAGTGACCTTAAAGATGAGGAATGTGTGATAGCATGTGGCCCACAGTAAGGCAGGTAAGATATAAGGAACCCAGAGGCAGTGTTGCTTAAGAAAAGAAGAAAGATCAGATAATGAGCATGGAATAAGCAAATGGAAGAAAAAAATAGGTGGGGAAGGCAGACACTTAGAGAAGGACGGAACAAAGTCTGGGAGAAACCTCAACATTCAGCATGGTTGGGCATGCACTAGGGACCATACCCCAATCGTAAGCTATCCCAAGATATTCTGTAGGGGATGGGATAGAAAAGCTTTAAATAAATAAATAAATCCTGGTAGAGGGCCTACCATTAATCAGAATTACTGAAAAATACCCCTCAGCATTACATTTGCTATTCTTTTAGACATATGTATGTTGAAATTGATACTTTACTCTTTTTAAATTACATGTTAACATGTTAGTAATTACATGTATAATTGGCCTTGTGCAAATGACACATGTGCAGGGGTACAACAGAGTTTCCCTCATTTCCATCACATTTCTTCAATTTCATAGTTTATTTCTTATGGAATATTTCATCCATTCCAAGACATTTACCCATACCTTCCTCAACTTAGATAAAAGAGTGATTAGCTTCTTGATTATTTCCCCCATGCCAAGAACGCATTGTTATTTTCTTAGATTGTGACCAGGTTGTCCTGAACAAACAATTTACAAATAAGACCATAGGTTCAAATATTCCAACTATTAAAGGCAAAACAACAATAAACAAATGATATAAACCTGATTAAAATTACCTGCTACAACTTCCTATTAAATTTTTTTTAAAATTGCATACAATATCTTTGCAGATCTTGCAGGTGGCTGCAAGAAACCTAGCAGAACTGTTAGCTGAGCATTGGTGCCTATAAGAAGCTTCCTAACAACCTCAGGATAAGATCTGCCTGGCCAACTTCTAAACAGATGAGAAATAAACTTGGACTGTATTTCTTGATAAAACTGACAGTAAAAAAATAACATGTGCAATTGCTTCAACCTCTCTGGTAACACAAGGGCAAACCCTCTCCGCCACTGGCATCTTACAATATTTCCCCTCTAAGACCACAGAGGGGAGTACTCACCATCTTGCTAGAGATAAGTCCTTTGAAGAGTGGGAGACTCCAAGATTGATACATAAGCTGCTGTGATAACAATATATTTGGTGTTCTCCTGTGCCAGAAATCTGGTACTCTCCCGATGTCACACTGCTGCTCAGTATCTAACACTCTGTTTGGTGATTGCTACTGCCCAATCAAAGAAGGGCAATGCCAAAGAATGTTCGAACTACCGCACCATTGCACTTACTTCACATGCTCGCAAAGTTATGCTCAAAATCCTACAAGTCAGACTCCAGCAGTATGTGGACCATGAACTACCAGAAGTACAGGCAGGGCTTCGAAGAGGCAGAGGAACTAGAGATAAAATTGCCAACATACGCTGGATCATGGAGAAAGCTAGGGAGTTCCAGAAAAACATCTACTTCTGCTTCATTGGCTATGCTAAAGCCTTTGATTGTGTGGATCACAACAAATTGTGGCAAGTTCTTAAAGAGATGGGAGTACCAGACCATCTTATTTGTCTCTTGTGAAACCTATATGCGGGTCAAGAAGCAACAGTGAGAACTGGACACGGAACCACTGATCGGTTCAAAATTGAGAAAGGAGTTCGGCAAGGCTGTATACTGTTGCCCTGCCTATTTAACCTATGTGCAGAGCACATCATGAGAAAGGCGGGGCTAGATGAATCACCAGTTAGAATTAAGATTGCTGGGAGAAATATCAACAACCTCAGATATGCAGATGATACCACTCTCATGGCAGAAAGTGAAGAGGAACTAAAGAGCCTCTTGATGCGGGTGAAGGAGGAGAGTACAAAAGTTGGCTTGAAACTCAACATTAAGAAAACTATGATCATGGCATCCACTCCTCTCACTTCCTGGCAAATAGATGGGGAAGAAATGGAGGTAGTGACAGATTTTATTTCCCTGGGCTCCAAGATCACCACAGATGGGGAACTGCAGCCAAGAAATTAAAAGACACTTGCTCCTGGGGAGGAAAGCTATGGCAAATCTAGACAGTATACTAAAAAGCAGGGACACCACCCTGCCAAGGACAGTGCGTATAGTCAAGGCTATGGTTTTCCCAGTTGCAATGTATGGTTGTGAAAGTTGGACCATAAGGAAGGCTGAGCACCGAAGAATTGAGGCCTTTGAATTGTGGTGCTGGAGGAGACTCCTGTGAGTCCCTTGGACTGCAAGGCAATCAAACCAGTCAGTCCTAGAGGAGATCAACCCTGACTGCTCTTTAGAAGGCCAGATACTGAAGATAAAACTCAAATACTTTGGCCACCTAATGAGAAGGAAGGACTCCCTGGAGAAGAGCCTAATGCTGGGAACAATAGATGGCAAAAGAAGAAGGGGACAGCAGAGAATGAGGTGGCTAGATGGAATCACTGAGGCAGTTGGTGTGCGTTTAGGTGGACTCCGGGAGATGGTGGAGGACAGGAAGGCCTGGAGGAATGGGGTCGGGATGGGTCAGACAGGACTTTGGACTAACAACAACAACAATTGCCCAATCTAGTCCCATCACTAAAAGAGTCTGTGGCTAGAGTCCTAGTTTTAGATGGACTCCAGTTAGCCAGGACAATTGAAAACAATCCTGAAGGATTAAAGAAGTGAGTCCCTGGGGGCAATAGTTTAATCTTAGTCAGAAACACAGAGAGGTAAGGCTTACCCTGGGTAGATTGGGAGGGATCTTTTTAAATCTTGGTGGTGCTGTGCATTTAAATTCTAATAGTTCATTGTATGCCCAGAAGACGTTTAACAGCTCTGTTCCTGCCTGGTCAAGCCAGAAAGGTTGGGATTTATACGCCAAGGAGGGAGGGGGAGGGGGAAGGAGGGAGAGAGAATGCACATGCGTATGAAAGAGAATGTTCAGCCACCTACATAACTCAGTCCCATTTCCTGAAAAACTTCCCAAAGAAACTATAAACACACAAACCTCTTGGCGCTTGATTTCTTTGGATGTGAGCATCTGATTGACACAAACATCAAAGGTCTCACTCCAGAGTTTACTGTCTCTTCTCTTAGTGCTAGCAGGGAGTACATTTCTAGTCCAGGGACGTGAAGCAAGAAGATCAGGCCGACTATCACTGCGGAAACTGATAGAACGCTATAAAAAAGAGGGAACAAAAGACAAAGAAAGGTTTAAATCGTTATCATTTAGCTCATATTTTAAATTGGTTTTGATTCAAAGTTGAATGAAGCTCCCTGGTTGACTGTGGAAAAGTCACATTATCTCTGTCAAACCTGCCTCACACATGTGAAGATAAAATAGGTGGAGAGATTAAAACTGCAAGTACCAGCTTGATCTCCTTCAAGGAGACAAGGGATGCTGATGCAATGAATTACTCATAAAAATGTGAATACGGTTCGTACAGGTTCCTTTTCAAATGCTACCTCATTAATCTCTCAAATATCACTGAATTTCACTAAGCTTGAAATGCAATTCAATGGGAAACCTTTGAAGTGATGCTTTATACACCTTCTTTATGGATCATGATCTTGGGTGTGGGTATAGAAAAGTAATGTGATCATTATTCCATGTCTGAATGAACTTGGCAAATTGGAAAACTAAAAATTTAACAGATTACTGAGAGAAAAACACACAGCTTATTAAAATTGAATAAAATTCTGTGGAAGAAGCAAATGTGAAAATTTACAGAAACATTACCAGTATAAAAATGTCAAATACTCACATTTTCATCACCAAAATGAAACAAAAGCAAAGGCCTTAGTGAATGTACATGTTCAGTAGTGGATATATGCACTGATTACAGAACATAAGCTGTCTCATTCACTGTAATCACCAAATTACATAGCAGAAGTGTTAAAAGAGCACTATTTATCAAACAAATTCCACCTCTTATGCTTAGGGTACAATCTTCTGGGAATTTCAGCCCACTGGATAGAAGTGTCAATTAGCCACAAGCCTCTATTACTGATTGATATACAAATACACTTTGTAAAGGATTGTGCTAGTATAGCTGACTTGCAGTTACTTTACCATCATCAAATATTACTCTCTTTTGCCCCCTCATTGCCCAGATAGTACAAAAGTGAATCTGCAATGCCAGACCAGATATCTACAGACTGTGGACACCTGGGGCCAAGTGAAATTCAGGTCTCCTGAGAGCAAGCTGTATAGCTGAGACAGAAAAGGCGTTTTGGGCCATCCCACTGATGTAAGTAGATGGATGCTTTTTCTTGGTACTGACATTTTTTTTATTTAAACCATGGTGTTAATGGTGTCAAAACAGTTTACAAATATAAAACTACTAATATAGTGGTATGTAATACAAGCAAAACAAAAAACAAATAAATATGCAATAAATAGAATTTTGAATATTTACAGAGCTATCTTCCTATACATGTCTTCTCAGAAATATTTTCCATTGAGTTAAATAGGACTTAATTTTCCATATGTATAGAACTTCAGTCTTAAAGACAGTTAAACTATTTCAAAATGTCTATGTGATTTTATTTTTTTGGCCTGGTGTCTAAAAATACAACTCTGAGTGTATATGTTGGAGTTAGGTATACTTCCCCTCCTAAAGATGGGCATTCCATAATTGGGGTGTCACTACTGAAAATTACCTTATTTCCAATGAAGATGGTATTTGAGGAACAACACTGGCCAATGAACTGCCAGTGTTCATATGCTGCACTTCTCCCATGCTGACATGGGAAGAGGCTCTCCTTCATGTATTTCGACCCGGAACCATGTAAGGTTTTAAAATTAAGTATCAGCACAGTTAATTTTGTACAACAGCAAATACACTGTCAATATTCTTTTTATGACTGCTGAAATATAGAGCTTTTATCACAAAGCTGTTAATCTGCTGTATATGCTTTTGATTTTTGTTACAGAACTGTGATCCACATGGAACATTTCCTTTCCTGGTTTCTACTATATAGCCCATAGGTGGCACTATAGTATGGTAGAATAGCAAAAATACACAGGAGGAAATTGTGCTGCTGTTTTGCTTTCACAGTGAAATTCCCTGTTCTAAAACACCTTGCACAAAATGCTGATTAAATAAAGAAGCAAACACTGGAAAGTCATAATGGTGCATACAGAACCAGTAAACAATCATAAGTAGCAAATAAGAATAACAAGATAAATGCTTCACATAGTCAGAGAGACCAGTACTAGTCAAAAGATCAGCTGCTATATTCAAACTGAACCATTTTCAAAGATAACCCTACATATTAAGCACAGCAATAATCCAGTCAGGAGTTTGCAAGAGCCAGGGTAATCGTGACCGAGCTATCTGTCCAGGAAGGTTGCAACCAGAAAAAGTCATTCTGTGCAACAGGACTCTAAGGACCAAGATGAATCCAGGGCCGCCCCAAGCTGTAAACCTGTCCCTTCAGGGAGAATATGACTCCACTCTGAGCTAGTTGAATACAGCCTCCCTGAACTACAGAACCATCTACCCACAGGATCTCAGTCTTGTTAACCACTGTATGATCAATAATAAATTGTAAGGAATATGTATTTAAAGTTAAATAAGTACAAGGGCATCAAAGCAAACCAGATCAAGATCGTATTATATGGTTCTCACCTAAATAACAAATATTACCCTGTATTGCATATTACTGCTGTGAGCCACCTTGAAGTTGTTTTCAGTGAAAGGCAGGATATAAGTATCTTTTCTATAAATATGCATAGAGAAGAAATACATAGACTTTTCACAACACTGAGACACATATTTGATGGCAATGCCATGCCTTGAATGGACTTAGATTCAACTGGATGACAAGGTATGCTTGAACAGGAAGGCATGCTTATGAGACTGTGCTTCACAAAGGATTTGTGTTTGAGAATATCTGTCACTATTTGTGGAACTGTCATTTACTTTCATCTCTGAACTCCCAAGTGGCTGCTGGCACCAATTCCACTGTTGAAGGGGACATAATTTTGGTGGGAGGACAAAATCCTATAGTCCCTGACAAATACAAGCATATATTAAGCATATATGTATATCTGCATAAAAGCAGATAAATTCTATAAAAGGGCAGTCCAATTTTGATTTGTGACATTTAAAGCTTTATTTAGCATTCAATTTGCTATTTCTGAGTTTAATTATTTCGTAACATAGTAAAGGTTTTCACAATGGTGTCACATAACAGAAAGTATTTCAATGACATTGTAAATAAAGATGGATAAAGACCAAAATGGGTATAATGCAAGTGCAGTTGCTTAACTTGCCAGCAAAGAACCCCTGGCTTCCTGTGTTCTTTCCAGGAAAGCAATTCCAGGAGCCTGTAGAGAACCCGTCAGCTAACACTTAGGGACAAACTTGGCATGCTTGCTCTTACACTGACAACATTCAGATATGCCACTTATTGCATTTCAGTTTTATGAAAAACAGCTGTCTAATTTCCTAAGAACTAAGCTATATGTCTTTCACTACCCAATGAAAACAGCGTTGGTCAATAATGCTGCACAAAAGGAGCAACTCCACATACTTCAAGGTATTAGGAGATGAAAGACAATATGCTGTACCAGCAGCCACTTATCTGATCCACCACCTTTGTTGTTCTGTCATAGAATCATAGAATAGTGGAGTTGGAAGAGGGCCAGAGGGAGATTACCCAATCAAAAACCATCCCTCTCAGATGGCAGCCCAGTTGCTTTTTTGAATGCATCTGGTGTGGGAGATCCCACAACTTCCCCAGAGAATTGGTTCTATTGTCATACAACTCTAACTGTCAGGAATTTTTGCCTGCATCTTTCTTATACTGTGGTGCCCAGAAGAGGACGCAGGACTTCAGATGAGGCCTAACTAGTGCTGAGTAAAGGGTAACTAGTACTTCACAAGATTTGGAAGTGATACTTCTATTAATGTTGCCTAAAATAGCATTTGACTTTTTTGCAGCCACATCCCATTGTTGACTCATCTCCAACTTGTAATCTACAATTCCAAGATCCTTCTCACTTGTAGTACTGTTGAGCTAAGTATTCCTCATCTTGTAACAACGCATTTGGATTCTTTTTCCTAGCTGCAGGAGTTTGCATTTGTCCATGGTGAATTTCATTCTGCTGTTTTCAGCCCAGTGCTCCAACCTATCAAGATCATCTTGAATCTTTTTTTCTGTCTTCCAGTCTACTAGCTATTCCATCCACATTTGTGGCATCTGAAAATTTCAAAACTGTTCCCTGAACTTTCTCATCCAAATCATTAATAAAAATGTTGAAGAGCACTGGGCTCAGGACTGACCCTGCATTACCCCACTTATTTCCTCTCTCCAAGGTTCCACAAATGAGCACTCTGAGTCCACGTCAGTAGCCAACTGTGAATCCACCAACAGTTGTTCCATCTAGCCAACTTTTAGCTAGTTTGCTACTCAGGCTATCATGGGGCACTTGGTCAAAAGTTTTGCTGAAATCAAGATAGATTATGTCTGCAACATTCCTACAGTCTATCAGGCATATTACCCACTCAAAAAATGAAATCAGGTTAGTCTGACAGGATTTGTTCTTGAGAAACACATGTTGGCATTCTCCTCCTCCTGCTCTCTCTTATTCCCACAACAACAACCCTGTGAAGTAGGTTGGGCTGAGAGTCTGTCACTGGTCCAAGACCAACCTATTGGCTCCATGGCTGAAGGGATACTAGAACCGAGACTGCCTGAATCCCAGTCCTGTGCTCTTAACCACTAAACCACCCCAGCTTTCAGTGTGAGAGCATTTGCCATTAGAAAAGAGGTAGAATATCATAAAGCAAGTTTTCAGCTACTTGTAGAATACATTTAATGTAGAACTGCACCCCCATAAATACCTGTTCCCTCCAGCTACTCTATTCTCTGGAGATTGTCACATTCAGAGAATAAATGCTAGACAACATGATTCTGTTATCCAATACAAAATCAACAGCTGGCAAATACTTTTATTAGGACCAGCCACAATTCCAGAAAAGTACGGAAACATTTGAGTTTACTACAACTCTTTCTCATTCTCAATGGTACAAAAAGCAGGGATTGGGGAAAAGTGAAGTCCCCAAATTTGCTCTATTGTTCTTGCGTTAGGGTCTGCAATGTAGGATTCAGCTGGGTCTATGTATACTGCAGACATGGCTACAACCTTTGGTCAAATGTTTGGACTGCATTTAGCTTCATCATGGAGCATAACACCAGAGCAGAGGGAGGCAAATAGATGACCAGTTAGCCAATCAGCTTCTTCCCTCCAGTTCGTAAGGCATGTCCACACAACCGAGGAGCATCCCCTTCAGAGTCATATGAAGAAAAAGGCACTAAGGGAAATGTAATGGAACCCAAGTAGAAAGGCATTTTTACATAGAAATCAGGATTGCAGCAGCCTGAGCTCCATCAGGCACAGCTAACAAGCATACACAGTCACACAAACATTTGAAGCATAATCTCGAACAAGCGACTAGCTATGCTAATGGCTCTGCAAGTGGTTTCAATGTTTCACATCCATCTCCACACAACAATAAGAGAACGGCCACACAGTGGAAAGGTGGTTACCTCCTTGGTGAGCCCTGTATACAGGCTAAGTGCCTGCTTAGCTCTTTGCTGTGCACTAGAGTCATTATTGCATTGTAGCCACGTTCACTAATCACAAGGCCTAGAGCACTAGACCCCTTCAAAAACAAAAATACATTTGCCCTGATATGTTAGCCCTTTCTTTGGTAATTACATTCATGTGACAGTTTCCATGTCAGATGAAATACCAAGCTGCAACTGAAAACATGCACATTTCAAAACCGAGGTATTTCAAGCGGACTGAGATATGTTTATTACTTCATATTCATGTTTTTTGTTATATTTTACTAGGTTTGGTTATACTTATTATTAAATTTAGACCCTGCCTTTTTTCCTTTTGCACAGCATCAAAGGTAGCATATGTAATCCTTCTTTTCACAATTTTATCCTCACAACAACTCTGTGAGGTAAGTTAGGCTAAGAGTAAACAACCAACCCAAAATTAGAATCCATGGCTGAGAGAAGATTAGAACTTGGATCTCTACAAGAATCAGATCTATTTTGATTCTTATGTAGTCAAACAACATTGATTTCCTTTTCTGTTCAATTTCATCTTTAGATCTTACATACTAGGCGGCTTATTCTTCTGTTTCACATCTGCATTTTAGCACTGTCAATATATATATACAGATAGCATGTCAGGGCTTCTTTAAGCCATAATACTTCCAGTCAGCACTGGTATTCTTAATAAATATCTGAAAATTGAACAGAGAGCAACATCTATGAAAACTGTTCACTGGGAGGTAAAATAAAAATGCTGAAGAATGCTGGTTCAGCAACATAAGATTATCTTAAACAGTGCTATGTCTGCATTTCAGTCTAGTTTTAGACTACCAAAAGCTCTTAGAAAGGTTATATTTTTAAGCCAAATTTTCCAGATTTAGTATCTTCAATTAGATACTAAGGAGTTTACAATACCATTCATTGAAAAAGACCATCCAGCTGCTCCTTCTTGGTCTTACTGAAAGGAAAAAGCATTATGTATAACGCTTGATTCTGAAAAGAAGTGTTTTACTTTTTGTATATGTACAATATACAAAAGCAAATGTTCTACACAGACTGCAAGAAAAAAGTCATGACAGTAGGTGCATTTCTTATATTGAAACCTGATGATGATTGTTTTACCTGAAGAGTCTGACTGAATCGCTTCAAAGGAGTTGCTCGGACAGGAGGAATTAAGCTTGCTAGTGATGTTACTCTAGAGAGAGGCCTGACCCGTTTATTACTGGGCTCCTGTAAATTTTAAGCAAAATAATTACATGTTAGAATCATAAAGCAACACAATGATTCCATTCTAGAAAATATGCACCACAACAAAAAGTTGTAGTGTATCCCCAGCACATGGCAATCAGGAGTTTTGTAGGACTATTTGGAGCTCATGGGTTTCAGGTGGGGAGAAAAGTGTACCATTCTTCCTTTTACCTTGTCTCCAAACCATTGTAATATATAGTTCTAAAAGGCTCCAGTTTGGGTCTGGTTGATAAATGCAAACTTGAGCAGCAGCAGAGTTCTTAATATATAACCTCCCATTTTTCTGATTAAAACAAGCCAAGATTAGACAAGCATGAAATCAGATCTAAAACCAATACAAATACTTAACATTTGTACCAAAAATGGCAATGTAAAGATATAACTGACTGAAACAGCAGACCAAAATGAAAGGCTGTGGATATCTATTATGAGTTTAAGGTCCCATCTCTCATGTCCACCTGTCTGATCTCATGTACTGAAATACAATGATGGGGCAAGAGAAGAACATGTCACATGCTGATCTGAGTGGCTAGGAAGATTCATATCTTCCTAAGACTAAGTGACTAAGTGAATTTTGAAGAATGCTATAGAGTGGCAGGAAGTGGACAGATAAAATGACTTTTTATCTTTCCTGTCTGATGTAGTGCAGCAAGATGGATTAACCTCACAGTGCATACACGCACTTCAATACCATGAACTGTTAGAGTTTCAAGCAAAGTAATTTTTTTCTTCAAGACATTTTTCTCCCTCTTCTGACCCACCTAAATGGACACATTCAGTATTCCATGGTTCAGCTGTCCTCAACAGTTCCTGAAATGCACTGAGTAAAGGCCTTTGCCTTCGCAGAATAAATGCATTTTCCTTTAACTTACATATTACTATTCCTCTGCATACATCAGTTGCCTCCAAGAAGGCAAAAAACACTAGCTTCTTTGGTATTAAAGAGATTCAGCTGTGAGACTAAATGAACACAACCAATTATTTTATTGATAATTAAGGTTTGTTTTGCTTGCAATGAAGATATCTGGCAAATGCAGTGCCAGGAGACAATGCAAAGAGGAAGGCAAATAGACACAATGGAGTTACCTAACTTCACATAGAACCAGTGCAATCCTGTGTATGTTTACTCTGAGGTAAATCTCACTGGGTTCAATTATGCTTACTCTTAAGTAAGCGTGCACAAGATTTTAGGTAACATATTTCACATATGCATTTAACTGCATCCCTTAAAAATTCCCTTCCCCCTTTAATAATGAAAAGCTATTCTTGTTATCACTTTTCATTATTATAGCAGCTACTCTTGTTATAATGACCTTGCAACTGAAGGGCATAGATACAGATTAGAAACAAACATATTTAGCCTCAAACATTTCTTCATGCTGATAGTTACATTACTGTACATGTCTGCATTTAATAAGTATGTGTTTCCAGAGAAATTAGAAAGTGAAAGATTACTATATCTGCAAAAGTCATTTATTCATATGTACATCATTCAAATTTCTTATAGTGTACATTATACAATACCCAGTATGCATTTAAATGAAATGAGATTTTAAAAATGGAATAAACATCCAGCATCAAAGAATAATTCAATAACTAAGATTTACAAAACATCTCATACACTATTTAATACCCTGTTTGACCAGATCCTCTAAAAATTAATATTGTATTTCAGCACACCAGAAAAGTATAAACAAAATGACAGAAACATCAGAAAAAGACACAGTAGTAATAAGTTTACTATTACCCTTGCTTTCCTAATCTCCATCCGACATTGAAGGGATCTTGGGCAGCACATTTAAAAGAGAAGCTGTAATCGGAAAACCCAAATCTTCCCGATGATGCCAATGAATCCATCAAAAATAATATTACAAAAATATCCTAAGCCATTCACCTTTCTTTCTCAGCCATGATTATGAAGTTTGTTTAAGCACCATATAACCCCAGTTTCCTACAAAAACCTCTGGGAAAATATGTCAGAGCTTGCTACCATCTTCCATCTCTTGCAGATGAGTGCGAGCAATTCTTCAAGTACGAAAATAAAATGAGAGCTGTGGTTGCTTAATTAATTTTAGCCAGAAACATTATTTCCACAGCACAACTACTAAAAGAAAAGTAGAAAGCCAGCTATATATTTATTTCTCCACAAAGAAGTCTGAAATCCATCAACAGTAGTAAAATATGGCACAAAAATATGCTAAAAGGCCCACATAAATAATGGATTCATACACTTGTGGCTCTTAATAATAAACAAAAAAGCAGATTGCATTCTAATCTTCAGCCAAGGTGTATTCTGTTTCTTTGTCTTCAGCAGCAGTCATCTGGCTCAGCCTTTTTGAAGGTATGTTTATTTTTACAGCACTGCAGCACCGCTGGAATACTGAACACAGTGGAAAAATCTCTGAGCTTTCACTGTAATTCTCCTCTGAATGGCGCCTCAGACACCCACTGTTTCTTATTTTGCATGCCAATGTTGCTGGACCACAATTCTCTCAAGGCAAAGAGAAGCTTTTCATCAATCACACTGTACTGCACTGCAGTCAGAACACATAAGAAATGACAGAAAGTCTCAAGTGTGTGGGTCAGAGCTATGCTACAACAGACTGAGTTAAAACCTTACCTAGCTTTTAATGCCTCCAGAATATAATAAGCTATTTAAAAATTATATGGACTTTTGATTTATTACCAAATTTAAAATTCAGAGGATGTCTGATGGTTGTTATCACTGAACTACCATTCTTCAGAATAGAGTTCCAGGATGCTTAGCCATACTCCTTTGCTGCCTATCCTTTTTCTCTCCATGAACAGTGACCTTCAGACAAAACACCTGTTTGTGCCCTTGGATAAAGAATGGAAATGAAAATATTGCTGCAGGATTGGACTTTCAGCCTAATCCAACCTCTGAGTAAACAAGAGTTAGTATCCTATTGTACCTGTCTTGGCACTAAACAATAACCCTAAATGAACAAAAATGCTCAAATTTGGAATGGGGCAAATCAGTGGTGCTCTCAGAAGGCAGTTCTGCTGATCTGTACTAATCTGAAATTAGCATTTCTCATGTTTCCAGGCTTATTTCTAGAAACACCAAAGCACTGTTGCACAAGCAGTGGATTCCATGATTGCAACACTACCACTATAGGTGGGGCAGCCCTGTCAGGTGTTGCCCCAAATGCTCTAAACCTTTCTGAAAAAAAGAATAAAGGAGGTTTACAAAATAAATTAGAAAATACAAATACATTAAGAACATAAAAACAGCCATGCCAGATCAGACCAAATGTCCTTCTAGTCAAGTACTCTGTACATACGATGGCAAACCAGCTGCCCATAGGATCGCTCAAGCAGGATGAGTGCAAGACCTCTGCCGGTCCAAGCTCCTCAACATCTAGTATATGCAGGCATGCCACCATTTAGCCAGTAATGTGAGTAGCCACTGATAGCCGCCTCCTCCTCCATAAATCTGTCCAGTCCCTTTTGAAAGCCATCCAGATTGGTGGCCATCACTACTTCATGTGGCAGCGAATTCCATAGTTCAATTGTACATTGTGAGAAGTATTTCTTCTTGTCTGTCCTGAAACTTCCCTCAATCAGTGTCATGGGATGTCCCTCAGTTCAAGAGTTATGGGAGAGAGACAGAAGAGTCTTCCCTTCTACTTTCTCTACACCATGCATTATTTTAAACACCGCTATCATGTCTCCCCTTACTGATCGTTTTTCTTAGCTGAACAGTCCCAGTTGTTGTAGCTGCTCCTCAAAGGGAGCTCCTCCAGCCTCCTGATCATATTCATCGCTCCTCTCTGTACTTTTTCCAATTCAATATTATAACATCTTTATTCAGGTGAAGCAGCCAGAACTGGACACAATGTTTAAATTAATCATCTGTTAAAATCAACCTTAAAACTGTACCAATTTTAAAAGATAAATTTAAAAAGATGTCTCTTGACTCTTTTCTTGAATTCTGTGAGAATGGTGAGTAGTCACAGGTCCAGCAGTAGGGAGGAAGCAACACACGCAAACCCTTCCCCACATAGCCAGCAAGCAGGCCCCTGTATGCAAGAGTATCTTCAAAAGGGCCTTTCTGGCTGAGCTTAGGTAATAGAGCAGGTTCAGACCAAGACAGGCAATAGTTCAGATTGCTGGACTCTAAGCATCCTGCTAAGGCTGGGGTAGACTCTTGAATAAAGTAAACAAGGGGACAAATCCATTGTTAAGTCAATGAACAAGCAAAGGTCAAGCACAAATTCATCACTCCAGAGAAGGAGCATTTCTAGGCTGGAGCAGTCAGTAAACAAGCAGTCCTCAAAGGCATGGTGTCAGCGGGCAAATTCGAGAGGTCCAGGAGGGCTCTGAGTGCAGCCAAGGTCCAAACACAGATGCAAACACAGTCCAGGTAGCAGCATCAGGCAGGAATCCAAAGGTCACACAATGGTTCCGTCATGGAACAAGGCACTGGTAGTACAACCGTTTTCAGCCGTTCTCAAGTTCAAACTCAAAGCTGATATTACCAGAGCCCCTACCACAGTGCAGAGGCTGGAAGTCCTCTGCATTTAACCAGGAGTCTTACCCATAGGGAGCACTTTTACTTATGAGGACAGACATTTAGAGTCCTCAGGGGCCCAATCTGGAATTCCCCAGGGTTTAGAGATGCAGAAGGGTGCAGCCCATCCTCTTTACTGATGCCAGAGGTTCCCACAGTCTCATTAATCTAGTACGTGCAGCCCTTTAGGTCAGAAGATTGTGCACCCCGATATAAACTAACTGTAATAGATGGACTAAGAACAAGAATAAAGAACCTGTCCAAACTCCCTTATCACAAATTAAGAAACCAGAACACATCGGATAGGAAGATCCTACATTCTTCAATATGCCATATAGTCTCCCAACCCTGTTGCCTGGTTTTCTGGAAGAGGCACACAGAAACAAGTTAGGTCTATGAGACTCGTCCTGAAATACTGGAGCATTTCTGCAGGTCTATTACTGCTGTT